GGCCACTCTCGGGCGACTAGACGGGGCGACGGCGGCGGCCTCCCTGGCGGCCACGGGGCCGTTGCCGGTATCCAGAAAACGGCTCAGGACGTTGCGGGCGTGAGGGAGCTCGCGGCGGCGGCAGCAGGAGCGGGTAAAGGGAGCGCGCGAAAGCGGAGAAGCGAGAGAGCTCTGCAGGCGGGAGCGCGCGAACGTGCCTCGCTCGGGCGCTTGCTCGCGGAGTTTGTTTACGTCTCGAGTCGCCTCGCTTGCCCAGGGAGGGCAGCTGACGCATGCGCAACAAAGTGCGTTTGTGACGTAGGCGAGACCCTTCCGCTGGGTTTGTGGCGACTGACGGGCGCCCGGGCAAGCAGGTGGCGCTCGGGCAGGCTGAGTAAGAAATATGAGCCGAGAGGGAATACGGCCAGCGGTAATCCGCGTCTCTAGAGTTTTGTTCCCAAATCCACATCTACGGTATAGCGAAAGAAGTTGATAAAACTGAAACCAGTAAGGACCAGAACACTTCCAAGTTCTTGGACGGTCACGCAGACAGACGCCCGGCAACTGAGACCTTGCGATGCTCACCGCTGCGCTCAGTCTGTTACTGGCCGGAGCCGCTCGACCGGTCTGGTTGCTCAATCTGCGCGCGCCCCTGTATCGAGTACTGTACCTAATTCGCCGGCGATACCGGGCCGTTTTCCCACGCAGCGTTTAAACGTGGGTCCGCGATACCAGTTGCGCTTGTGGTATACTGGTGGGAGGAGATTACTGGAGGTGAATGACTTGATTCTACCGAGAACTTTGCAGCTGGGGAAAGCACAGTTCTGATGTTTTGCCTTTTTCGTAGCTTCACATAAAATGCATCAGTGACAGTTAATAGAAAAAAAAAAAAAAACGCTTTTCTGTAGGAACCTTCTGCAAGCTGAGTTAATATCGCACTTGGTTGTAGCATAGCATCAATTTAGGGAATGTTGTTATGCGTTTGAATTTATTGTAGCCGCCCACTTCCATAGACTCTGGGCAGCATACAAAACAATAAAAGCAGTTAAAAACATACAACCCCACAGGCAGCCTATACTAAAACAAACCAAAACAAACCACAACAACTCCAAGGTCTGAGACCAAACCAGGTCTTAAGCCCTTTTCAGGACCCCAGGAGAGAGGGTGCCATCCGTATCTCTGGGGGATGCTGTTCCAGAGGGCGGGGGCTGCAACACAGAAGGCACGCTTCCTGGTCCTGCCAGATGGCAACATTTAATTGAGGGGACCTGGAGTGTACCCACTGTGCTGGAACACATCAGGCCAGTTGTGCCCATTCCTGGATTGAGAGACCCTACTCAGTCACTTATGCCTTGATCACCTCCCTTTTGGACTGTTGCAATGCACTAGTGGGGCTGCCAGAAACAACAGTTGGTCCAGAATGTAGCACTATGGGTAGTTATGGATACATGGTATGCACATGTAACACCACTACTTCATGAGCTGCACTGGCTTCCAGGTGTAATTCAGGGTGCTAGTTACCACCTGTAAAGCCCTTCAGGCACAAGTCCAAGTTACTTGTGAGACCGCTAATTTCCAACTGAATGTGCTCATTCCATGATATCTGACAGAGTCCCTTCTATAAAACAATGTAATCTGGCAGGATTTAAGAGAGACACTTTCTCTGTTGCAGTGCCTGCCCTCTGGAACAGTTACCCCATGAAATTCAGAAGGCTGCAACCCTGCTAGCCTTTCCTAATGCCTTCAAAAGCTAGCTTTTCCCCTGAATATTGAGCCAGGCTGGTGGATTAGCTGGTCTATGATAGTTTGATATGAAATGATTGTAGTATGGCCTTGAACATATGTTTTTTTCATTTATTATTTGGCCTTGTTTTGTATTGGTTTTAAACCCATGTTAACTGCCCAGAGTTGCAATTGTGAGTTCGGCAGCCATATACATTGAATGAATGGTCCTATACATGCGAATTACCTTTGTTGTATGAATGTTCTCATATTTAGTATATTTTTACATAGCAAATACTATGATAGCATGATAAAAATTCCAGGTACCATCAAATTAATCTAATAAAAAATGAGTCTAGAC